GTCCGACAAGTCCTAGCAAAGGCGGCTGTGCCGGCATTTCAATCGCCACGGAAGCTTGTTTGTTGGATAGTTCGTATTTACAGAAATCTCAGATCAGGTGTTCTGGGCGGGGAAGTTGTGACACGGAGCGAGAACAAGTGCGCAACTGATGGGGAAGAAGAAGGAATATAGTAGGGTAAGGGTGAATGGTAGATGATAGACAAGAAACTAGCAAGAAGACTAGCAAATCCAAGCTTTATAATTTGGCTTGTGTCAGTACCTTCCAGCATTCTTCCAACATTCTCATGGAAGATGGGGGCTGCGAAAGCAACGGCGATGCTTTGGCCTCTCGGGCCAACACATCGCTACTGACGTGCTTAGAAGGCCAAAACATTTCCAATACACACATGAAGAATCACATATTATAGGATAACACCTAAACGAGCCATTGATTTGCATTTGGGAGTGAGGGTGAACTATAAATGTATTGGTGGAAGACTGAAAGCTATCGCGGGTCGCAGCTTGGCCGCAGACTTCAGACCGGGGTCTTGATTAAAGGGGCGTTATGCACGCTTTATGCAACTTCGATGATCTCCAAAATTGAAGATTCTTTAATGAGTTTATAGACAGTGATCGGGGTTACCAGATGGGTTTCCCCACCATGTTGGGAATGGATGAGCCGTTCCGCTGGCGCCGAAGACTGCGAAAGACAGAATAAAAATCACCAGCTGGGATCCTCCATCTAATGCCGCCCCGATAAGATAATTATACTTGTTGTAGATCCTCGGTAATCGACGTCTTAGCCAGAGTTGCGAAAAGACTCCAACCGCTATAGAAGACCAAATCCACGACGTATTTCCGTAGTAGTTAATACCACTATAGGCGACAATCAGGGCCGTGTTAATAGGCCATTCCTTCAAACGGGGAATCACTTTAATCAAGCCCCAATGGAAGACTGGTATGGCGAGGCCAATAACGATGCCAAGGGGAACAATAAGATAGCGTCCTGCCACTCCGTACATCTGCTTCGCCAGGGCCCACGTTACTGCTTGTGAGTTGAGACTTTGTACAATCGATCCGCTCCAGATGTTGTTACCTTGGGGATCAAGGAGGATTTCCCGTTGACTATTAACGATGACAGTCATGACGGCGTAGTTCAATCCTGCCCCAAGGAGAGTGCCGTAGATTTGGGTGGCGAACATGACGCGATGAGGCACCTTCGTGTATTGTCCAACCTTGAGCCAGTTTGCAAGGTTTACGGCCAGAAGAATAACTTGATGCGACCACGATGCGAAAAATAGGTTGGCCAACGGCAGGTTCGGGTGCACAGCACCGGCGACCATTTTAGAGATCTGGTTGGTTGCCACTCCACTTCCGTATAACCCGTAGAGGATACAGGAGAAGGGCGCGATGAAAGATCCCAGAAGGAGAGATATAATGTATCCCCATACAGGAAGTGTGGTCTCGCCTATAATGTTCACAGCTAAGCCGGCGAAAAAGCAGAGAGCAAAAAGCACCAGGTACCACCATTGCGGTACTTCCTTGTATCTCAGCATCGCTTGGTAATGCGGATCGGGTTGAGTTCTATTACGTGCCTGTTTCCACGCGAGAATCATGTCTTTGCCGAAGAATATAATGACGTGAGTTATCAATGCTCCTATTGCGATGTTTTGGGTAAAATACCCCCAAACGGTGCTTGATGTTAGGTATGGCAAACCAACCTCCTTCAATTTGTTTTCATCAATGACACCTCGTTCGTTCAAAATTGAGGTTGGATGAAATACAGTACCGTTTGCTGAAAAGAGAGATGTCGACATGAATGGAAAACTCTTGGCGTTCCATGTATTACTGTAGTACAGCCCAAGCAAGGCGGAATATAAGATGACATAGCCGATCCAAGAATTTAGCTGCTGCTTGATTGGTAGTGACAGGTATTGACTTTGGATGTACTGCCAGTCCAGAGAGAAATTCAGAAGTCCAAGCCCCTCGTTGGAAGAGGCTCCTCCAAAGATGGTGGAGAAGATGGTACGGGTCCTTTCTGGAGCGCCCAATGATGCTAGGCAGAAGATAGAGATACCACTGAACCATGGTATTATATACGCCGGAAATATTTCCCAGACGGCAGCAAATGCAAGAGCCCAGCCAAACTTGATAAGACGACCCCGGTTGGCCAGCCGATCAAAATGGAGATTCTGGAAGAGGACTACCTGTGGCAGCGTCAACCAGTATACCATCTCTGCGGGGTAGACTATGAGTGGCCGTAAAAGACCGGCTACTACAAATCCACAAAGTGAGATGGAGAAGGTAGCGAGGACTGCAGTGGAAGCAGAGACGGATCGATCATAGAATAATCGTTCTATGGCGTAAACTTCCACGCCAGACAGTCCATTGTTGCCAGAAGAGGCGATGAGCGACGCTACCACATGCTCTTTGATCCCGAATGGTTGTCCAGAATTGATGAATCTGAGTGTTTTCTGCACCCACTTTGCCTTGAACCGTTCTGGGCGTGGAGTTGAGAGAGCCCATGCTTCTCCAAAAATAAACACCAACACTATCGAGTATGAGCGCAAAGAAGGTAAGAAGGCATACTAAAAGAACTAAAAGAGTGGACGTACGCTGTATGAATACGGCTGAAACTTGTACCTGGAACGGCTTGAATATATAAAGCATAGTAATTACGCTTTTTTATATATTAGTTCATCATACACTAAAATGCTTTTATATAACTGAAAATCCAATCTTTACCTTGAAAGGGCCGTGAATACGGATCCCAAGATTATGGAGCGGAATGTCAACGCAGGGTCGCCATCATCGCGAACTGATATTAGGAATTTTGATACATCGAACCCTGATCAAGTATGTTAACCACAGGAGCCAGAAAAGGGGACCATAAGCATTACCATTTCGAATAACAGGATGCCCTTTTACATATTCGGCATCATTATCATGATGAGAATCTTCGGCGCTGTCTTTACTTGCTTCGTGCTGCAAGGTTAGGGTTGATTTGTCGCCATTAGGTGCGACGAGTGCTTCCGTCACCGTCGCTTTCTTGTGTACTTTAGCCGTGCTAGGGACATCTTCCAAGACAGATGTTGTTTCGATAAAGCCCGACATCTTCTAGAAAGCCTAGGTCAAATCAAATGGCTAGCCGAAAAGCTTCGCCTAATGCCACCTCGATGCATGCGCATGAAGACAGAGTATAGTATAATAGAGGAAGAAAACAAAAAGCTTGACCTGTTATATCTTACGTTATATCCTAACATTGTTTACCTCGCGCACGTTTAACGGCGGCAGATGATATTTACTTGATGGTGTGATGCTGAATCGGAATGGCGCCCAATAGCATCCTTACTTGGTGCTGGGATTAACACATCACCTGCCTATTGGGGAAAATTCCTCAGATAGGAGGTTTTGCAAGTGGACCAGAAACACGCGGGCGGGTTGGGGTACTTTTAACATTCATACTTTGGTTAAGAGTTTGGCTAATATGGCATCAATATCCCGAGTGATGTCGTGACCGAATTGTACGTTCTAGATAAAGCTGTATAGGTATCAAGGGTCCCTTATCCCGCCATTGTTCGTAAAGACTTTGCTATCTTCTACGAGAGATAGGAAGACATCAATTGATTCGCCAGTTTATATACGGTGGCATATTAGTGCGCAACCGACAAAACAAAAAAGCGGATGAAAATTCGTCCGATTGGCTGGCGTAAGCGCTATAATTATAGCGCACTTACCCATTAAGCTCCCTATAAATACAGGGAATTACAGTGGTGCATTCGCTAGAATTATAGTGCTTGAAAAAAGTCTCCGAGGTTATGTAATATTCGGGCCACCCTTCCCACTAAAATCTAGATTTGGCCAATCAGATTAAAGGATTTAATTGTCAATCCAATTTTCAATTGCCTTATACATTACACATTCAGATAACTTTACAAAAACAACAATTCAGACATTATAATTGGTATGATTTTATAGCCGTAATTGATGCGAAAATAATGGACCAAATTGCATGTTTATGCGATATGTATTGAGTATTATATTGCTATTAAAGTATCTGGAGTCTGGTTGGAATGACTTTATCGAGGTGCTTAAAGGGTATCACGTGCTTGCCTTTCCAGACAAGCGCTATTTGATTCTACTTTAACACAACAGCCAAAAGGCCGATTCAAATGCAACTTAAATCATTATTTTCGCATCAATTACGGCTATAAAATGATACCAATTATAATGTCTGAATTGTTGTTTTTGTAAAGTTATTTGAATGTGTTGTGTGTTGTGTGTTGTGTGTTGTGTGTTGTATGTATAAAGCAATTGAAGATTAAATTGACAATGGAATCTTTTAATTTAATTGGTTGATGTTGAAGTTAAATGTCAGCCAATTAAAATCCTCGATTTACAAGCCTTATAATTATAGCGTATTGCTCACTGTAATGCCCTGTATTTATAGGGTGCTTAATGGGTAAGTGCGCTATAATTATAGCGCTTACGCCAGCCAATCGGACGAATTTTCATCCGCTTTTTTGTTTTGTCGGTTGCGCACTAATGGTGCACCGTAGTTTATAACGTTAAAAACTAGCGTCGCTGAGGGGGAAAAAAAGGGAGAAAAATAAAACCGCATTCCGGGCTGTAAACGGCGTGGTTTTCCCCGGCCGTTCGTTCCGTAGGTTATTGCCAAGACGGATAACCCGAAAGTGTACGCGAGGAAAACGGACCGGTAGCGTTATCTTAGACAACTTTTTCGCAGTGCACCAGATCCGATACTGAATAGTCCCAGGTAAGGGGTTCAAATGCTTTGCGCGGAGGCTCGCTCGGCCATACTATTGTTCGTATAACGCCTCAATAATTACGCCAGACGGATGAGGGGTCGAACAGTGCGTGGTAAGCCAACGCAGGTACTTTCGGTGGGCCCAACTGGTGGTAAGGGTGCGAGATTATAACGAGCACTAGGAATATATAAGCGTGATAAATTATAATTTGTAGGAAACCCAGTTTATAGTATTATATAAATACTACGGTCTGTTATACATAGGTGCCTAATTTATCTAGGTCTTCTTGATAATCCTATGTTAGTACCTCCGTCAGGAGTAGAATATGAATGGGCTTGGTTGGTAGGTGTAGAAACTCCGCGACAGCTACGATAATAACTTCCGACATTGACATTAAGTAAAACTCTTCATTCTGTAATAGATACCTAGATAGGTATTCATTGAGGGCTGTTCCGCTCATATCCCACCCCATAGTCAATCAGTAACTGGATAATGGCTCGGTCCCGCTCGTTCTCCCACAAAAGCGCCAACCTTCGGAAGGGTATATCATGACCCCTAATGTCAACGCCCGAAGCTAGCAATGCGCCGACGACGCGTACCTGCCGCTTTCTTGCTGCCTTTATCAATAGCCTCTTGCCAACGAAAGCCCAAGGTTCATCTCTAGCACCACGGCTTAAAAGTAGCTGAGCCATAGTCTCATATCCCCTTTCTATTGCTAAAGCTAACGGGCTGTTGGGATACCCCTCAACGTTGATATTGACTCCCTTGTGTAGCAGTAACCGTACAATATCTTCATATCCTTGGATAGCTGCACAAAGGAGTGGACTTAAGAAGGATTTTCGACCTTCAACGTTAGCTCCTTTCTCAAGTAGCATTTGCACAAGTCTCGCATTTCCCATGATAACCGCGTCTTGCAGTGGACTTGTGTATCCTTCATTACCTTCTACATTAGCACCACTTTGGAATAGGAGCTGGATGATCTCTTTATGTCCTTTTAGAACCGCGTCTTGCAATGGGCTTCGGTACTCTTTGTTGCCATCAATATCAGCACCCTTCTTAATGAATAGCTGGACGAGTTTCATATCTTCTTGGGCGACGGCTTCTTGTAGTAGGCTTCTATCTCGATTAGTGCCTTCAACTTTGAGCCCCCTCCAGAGTAATGATTGAATGAAGTATTTATATCCCACTTTGGCCCCAGGTATAAATTTCTTTTTCTCGGGGCCATAATTTTCCAAGAGCCTAAGAGCAAATCCATTATGCGACTCTAGTGCGAGTTGGATTAATTCAAAATCGGAATTAAGTCTTTCTGGAGATAAACTTTCCTCTTCTTTCTGTGTATACACCTCCTTAACTGATAAACTCGATGGTACGGTTTTTGTATGCTGCTCGAGCAATTCCCAGAATGCTTCAAAGCTTTGGGTTGCAAGCGCAGCAAATATCGGGGTACCGTATTCGCTCTGTTCAATATCGAAACAGGACTGCCGAATATCTTGAGTTCGGATGAGGCGTGCCAAATTACGGCTCGCTAATATGTACAAAAGGCTCACATCCGACGCATACCAGCGGACGTTGGGCCATTCGTCCATAGGTTTAGAGCCCTCGATCACGTTGTTGTATTCAATCCATGCCCTAAATGGAAATCCTGATATAAATTCCGATTGTGAGAGTCCGCACTTATTAGCCTCGTCGGCATGATACAGGATATTCTCGATAGAGTAACCAAGAAATGGAAACTTTGTAGCGGTATCGTAACAGCGGCCATAATATAAATGGCTCAGCATTGGTTTTCCAGTTTCCATGTTAATGATACGATTCATTCTATTCCACATACGTGGGATACGTGTCGCGATAAACCAGCCACTGAAATAGTTTAAAGGGTTGGTGGTCAAGTCCCACATTGGAATAGGGTCATCTGAGTCAAGCAAAAATATGTCGCGTAGGTAAGCAAAGCAGCACTGCTTTAACTCTTCATGGCCATACCCATGAAGGTTCGACCCAAGCTCAGGCCAAACCTTTTGTAGCCCATTTTCTTTGAGGAGGAAATCGCGAACGGATTCGTGAATAAACTGAACGGTTGTTGATGACCCCGAAACTTCAGCCAACCCTTTCGAATTATCGATGATATAATTTTCCATATCTTCGACGGAAACAATATTTTCCGAGTGGAACATGGCCAAGTCCTCTGGTTCAATGCCTAACATGATGGCAAAATATAGCTCCTCGAGTCGTAGTGGACGTGCTGCGAAAAGTATCCATTGGATGCAGACACGAAGCCCATCCTCGTTGTCATTGTCGCGTGTTAATATGTCGTGGAATAGGTTGTGGAGGTCGCTGGGGATTTGTTCTAGTCGCCTTTTAAGAGTATGTTTGCGCCCGCGGTCATATTCTTTGTTTAAGATACTCACAACGAGAACTACCCACATGAAAACCCCAGACGCCTTTTCCTGGACCTCGGTACGGATTTGATTTGCAAGAATATCCTGTCCGATACGTAACTCAAATTTCAGGTATTGGGTTATATCTTGATTATGCTCTTGCCGGCCCTCAATTACTAGAGTAAGTCCCTTTGTGACCGTTATATGGGGGTAATGCCTACTTGCGAAGCAGATATGCAAGTGTGTCCCAGACGAAGCTATTTTCTGGCTAATATTGTGTAGGAAGTACAGCATATCCCGGATCTGCCGTTCCTCACATTCATCCAATGCGTCAATGAAGCAAATTATGGATGTTTCATCCATAGCGAGAATTAAATCTTCAAATAGAGACCTTAGTAGCTCAATGTTCCACGGGCGTGATGGGTCAATGGCGTCTAAGACACGCTGAAGATCTGGTTTTAATTCGAGTATCTGTATAATAAGCGATCGGTAAAGGCCATCCGTAGACTTCTCTAGCTCCTCTCCTCTTGCATTAAAGAAGAAAGAGATGACTATCTTCCCCTGATCACTTAGCGGTTGGTACGCATGCGATATCGTGAACTTCATCAAGGTTGACTTTCCTGCACCGGGCTTGCCTTTGATCCAGAGGAAGCCACTATGGTCGTCAAACTTGCTTGTATCAAGCCAGTCTATGTATTGTGAAGTTTCTAAAAACCATTTACAGGTTTTTATATGTGCCCCTTTAATGGTTCTCTGGCGCTTGTCGATTTGAATGAACTTGAGCGATGTAATCACCTTAGTCCGGCGTTCGATAGTCTCTTTTTTCACTTGGTCTTGGATATGAGTATGTGAATGTAATTGGATGTTATTACCGCGAAGTCGTAGTACTAGTATTGAGATTAGTTTATGATAATATTCCATTTGGTGATTGAGTAATACCTACTGTTGAAGTCCCGACCATTATGAAAGCTCCCGTTCACCACCTGTACACCTTCTCCGGAATGCTGAGTGAACCCCCGGTTTCCTCCTTCGAATCGTTATGTAGGTTCAAAAGAGCCAGCATTAGCATGATGCCCATCGTGGGAACTATTAGGCATTTTGTGATCCTTCTCATTTGTTAGCCTTTGAATTGCCTAGCCACAATTCAATGTGTCGTGATATGCGCGAGCCGTTGACTATGTTCCCCGACCTGTTTAGCCAGTGCTAGGCATTTGTGCAAACTAATAAATATTCTCCGAATTTGGCTGCTCTAAAAACTAAAACAGCGCTGGCGTTGGCAAAAGCGAGGCTGTGCTGCTTATGCCAATTTTATTTCTAGCCTGACAATAAGGACTAATAATTATACTAACAACAACTACCGTAAATGGATGAAAATATATATCATAATATTCGTGAGAAAATATTGTATCCATTTATTACTTTTTCTTATTTTTTATGATTCTTTTTACGTGGCTATTTCAAGTATAATATCTGGTATCATGCCTGGAGGGGAATACCAAGCGCATTTAATTTTCGCTACTGACTGCCTGACTGAGTAGCGACTTCGCCCCAGCAGGCTGTAAGGCATTTTATGATCAAAATTGCGGCGAATGGAGAATCATACCGCTGAGCGGCGCTTAAGCACTGCATGTTGGTGCATATAGGGTTGCATTGCAGGGGATGAAGTTACGAATGAGGAGATTCTCTGTGTCAGAATTCTCATTTTGTGGTCCCATAACAGCCAGCCTGCAGCAAGGAAGAGGCAGGCTGGCAACAACCAACAATGCCTCGTAGACTTGATGAATTATATAAGAAAGGTAAGTCCCTCTAATAACGATATACTAGGCATTCGTAATAGTATTCTCTCTTTACTAAGTTTTTCAACCGTTTGAACCTTTTACTGCATCGACGACTGAGCAATGGGGGATTTACGACCCGAAAACTATTGTATCATATGGATCGCACCATTAGAAATCGAGGCAAAAGCCGCTTTGTATATGCTAGATAATAGGCATGTCGGCGGATTTCCAATGGCCCGCGGCGACGATTACGTATTCCAAGCCGGCGACATGTGCGGACATAATGTTGTAATTGCGACTCTTCCGCCTGGTCAGGAGTATGGGACGGGATCAGCCGCTGCCCTTGCCAGTCAGGCAAAGAAGTTTTTCCCCAACTTCTGGTTTGGTCTTCTAGTAGGCGTGGTAAGTCTAAACATTATTTGAAATGCCCACTTCTGTTATTCTCTGAGTTGGAGTTTTCTATATCTGTATCTCTTCAGCTCCTGGCGCAAATTTACTAACCCGGTCGTCGGTAGGCTGCTGGTATTCCTGATCTCAAACAAGACCCTAAACGAGACATTAGATTAGGTGATGTTCTTGTCAGCATCCCAGATATGGACCGTCCGGGAGCTGTGGCATACGACTTGGGTAGAGATAAGGGGGGCGATACGCCTCAGCTTCTACGGAATGGTCATATTCTTGCTCAGACCGAGTCAGTTGTAAGGTCCGCTATTGGCAGTATCAAACTTAATTCACCGGATGAGGCCAGACTGTTTCTTCCATTTTACGAAAATATGAAGGACAAGAGGCATGCGAACGGGAACTTTATTGATCCTGGGCAAGATCGCGACAATTTCTATCAAGTAGGAGACAACGGTATCGAGCATATAGTAGAAAGACCAAAGCGGCCTGCTTCAGAACGCACCAGAGTGTGGTATGGTCCAATAGGGTCAGGAGAGAAACTCATGAGGAGTGCTTCGAAGCGAGATATGTTGAGAGATAAGTATGGCATTATTGGCCTAGAGATGGAAGCAGCAGGCGTTATGAATCGACTTAATGTCGGCGTCATCAGGGGCACATGCGACTACGCAGATGAACACAAGAACAAGGACTGGCAACCATATGCCGCGGCCATTGCGGCGGCATATGCCAAAGCACTCTTGTTTCAAATTCCACCAAGCCAGGCGCCGAATCGTCCGGTGCCACCAGGACGTGGTTAGTGTCATACATGGCCATTATACTCACTCGATTACTTCGTTACAATTTAACAAGTTTTGTTACTAACCCTAGTATGCAGACCAACATGGTGCCCCTGCGAATAATGGGCGAGGTCATGATGTAGCCGAAGATGTATCTGAGAGGGAAGTAATTATCTTCAGGGGTCGGGGCAACCAGAATATAGGCTCTGGAAGCATTTCAATTGGTGGAGGGCAGCACATTTCTTGATTTTTGAGATAGGGGAATTGTATTTTCCCTGGCCTGGGGCTGAAGATGTTTCCTTAATCTTTTCCTTAACTGTATGAGAGTAAGGGCTTGGAGGATAATCAACAAGAACGATACGGTGACGCCTATCTCTCGATAGTGAGTGTGTTATTCATAGCTTTTCCCTAGGCTACTATACATACATAATAGACAAGCTGCTGCTTCTAGACCTTCATAGAATATTAGTGGGAGTAGTAGTAGCTAAGGCTTCGGACTCCCGAGCTAGGTAAAACACGGCGCAATTTAGAGACGTTGACGTCGTTCCCAAATCATCAAGCTCTTAGCGTCCGGAGTGAATACGCCCCTGTTACTATATCTCGGCGTCACGAAGCTCCGATTACATCACATTTCATCAACGAATTATAAAACTATAAAATAAACAAAGCTACTCTCTATTAGAAACCACGAAAGTTGAATAACTGAAGTTTCATCAAGTAATAATCTTCTCAATATGACTATTACAGTCGGAATCGCCGGTATAACCGGCAAGTTCGCCCGCGAACTCGCGTCAATACTTCTCAAATACCCCGATATCAAGATTAAGGGGTACTGTCGTGACCCTTCTAAAGTTCCAGAGCCATTATCTTCCAAGGTTGAGCTTTCGAAGGGGGATGCCTTCGACACGTCCGCTGTCCGTTCCTTCGTCGCCGGGTGCGATGTGGTTGTGTGCTGCTACCTCGGCGACGGCAAGTTGATGGCGGACGGGCAGAAAGCGCTCGTCGACGCCTGCGCTGCCGAGGGCGTCCCGCGCTATGTAGCTTCGGATTGGACGTTGGATTATACTAAGCTTAAGCTAGGAGATCTCTTCCCCAAGGATCCGATGATCCATGTCAAGGCGTATCTAGATGCCCAAGACAAGGTCAAGGGCGTACATATCTTGGTCGGCATGTTCATGGAGGTCTTCTTTAACCCGGTATTCGGTACCTGGGATGCTGATTCTGCAACTCTCAAGTATTGGGGCACGGGTAACGAGATATGGGAAGCTACTACGTACCGGAATGCGGCTGAGTATACCGCAGCGGTTTGCGCAGATAAGAACGCCGTCGGGATTAAAAAATGTAAGTCATCAGCGAATAAACAGACCGATGTGAATAATAGCTAACAGGTTTCCTCTCGTAGTTGTCGGCGGGCGGGCAACAATCCGCGAGATCGCTGAATCCTTCGAGAAAGTCTACGGGGTAAAGCCTAAGCTCGAGAACCACGGCTCATTGGATGATCTGTTCAGGCATATGCATAGCCTGAGAGAGAAAGACCCTCAAAATGTCTTCTCCTATATGTTTTTGTGAGTATTTGATACTTCTCTGCACGTACTTGCAATCAAAGCTGATGTAATATAGATTTTATCAGTACTATATGACCAACGGACAGGCGCATCTGGGTCCCGAGTGCGACAACGATCAATATCCTCAAGTCAAGCCCGTAAATTGGGAGGACTATCTGAGATCGGTTCCGAAGGACCAATTATTGAGTGCTCACTCAAATGTCGGGAAAAGTACTTAAGGAGACGATGAGACGAGTCCATAACTAACTGGGATACATATTCATCCCTTAATATATGTTGAAAGCAATGAACGCTGTCGTCTATTTCGTGATATGTTGGTGTATTTCGCACATAAATAAATGCCTATCTAAGTACCTCGTAGGGAGGTAGGTAATCATTCTCATTAAGAGGCTTGGGTAGGAATGTAGGTATTAGCTATCTCGTTCGTAGCTCTTTGAGTATAATGAGGTTATTTTCCTATCAGTATCAGACGTAACCCTTGATGAACGTTATACATAGAGTGAAAGTCAGCATAGATAGAATTGAACTATTCACGCCTGCCTTTTACCCTCTTACGAGGGCGCTGCGCGCCTCTTATATACCTCCCAATCCTAGTAGATCTACATACCCCTGAATCTACCCCTAACCCACTTATACCTTGACAATCAGGCACTCGTATCATGGCAATTATATCTCTCCCCCAAATCCGACCGTTGGTATTTGGTACATCTTCCACGCGAAGGGAAAACTTAGTCTTTAGTAAATCATACAGTATAAAAGCTTCATATACCTCTGACCTGGTTAACTAGCCACCAATTTTCATATATGAGAGGAACCCTGGCTTGTATACACAGCATTATTGATATTTACAACAGTCCCATAACCATTTCTTTTCGCAAACAGAAACTATACTATTACACACCCACACTTTTACATTACATTACATGGAAAGGTCCCAGCCTATTGGCGAGTCTTGAATTTGCTCTCCGTTTCCAGCCATGTCCCAAAGTCCTTAAGATCAGGGTGCATATTCCTCAGCGCTGCGATATCAGCTCCATAACCAACGTCGCGGAACCATCTAAACATATACCCGAGTTCCTTCGTCATCCACATAATGATAGCGGCAATAAAATGATACGTAGTGGGCAGATCGTTACCAGTCTTCTGCTTGAAAATCGTGGCAAACTGATCGTACGTTAGCTCATCCCCCGCCAGACTCAATTTCTTTCCCTTCCACTCCTCCGGGTTTCTAAACGCTTCGGCGGCAAAGAAGCCGATGTCGCTTGTCGCGACTAACTGAAGCTTCTGGTCCTTCTTAAGGGTAATCTTCCAGCTCGTGGTGAAAACTTTACCGAAGAAGTTCGGGGTCAGATTCTCGAAGAAGGCAACGGGTCGGAGGATTGTCCAATCCATCTCTCCGTCCTTGGTCTTCTCCAAAAGATATTTCTCGATGTTGTACTTGCTGATGAAGTGTGGAATGTTGGTTGGGTCATTATCTGACTTGTCTCCACCGCGGTCGACTGACGAATACACCATATGCTTGACACCATTCTTGAGCGAAGCATCGATTAAAGCCTTGCCTTGAATTTCTTCCTTTCGAAAGTTTGCCCCGCCGCCCATAGCTGCCTATACCAGTATTAGCATACCTATTGACACATTTCCAGATTACAACTTCTCAACAACTTACCTGTACACTAAAGACTCCCCATATCGGTGTATTGGTTATCTCCTTAGCTTTGCTGAAGATGTTTTCGGCTGCGTCCATATCACCCGTCACCAATTTGATCTTGGACGACTTCTGCGCCAGCCGTTGAGCAGATGCTGATTGAGCATTTCGAGTAAGGGCGAGGATCTCAAGATCAGCATCGGCTTTTAGTAACGCGTTCACGACAGCGCCGCCTTGCTTGCCTGTGGCTCCAGTGATGAGAACTGCTCGCGACATGATGGTAATAATGGGTAAAGTACCTAAGGTAACTACCAAATAGGTATTGCAGAATACGAATGATGAAGAGTTAAAATAAGGTATCTAAAAGCCATTGTGGGCAGTATTTTATCTTTAAACAACAGCGGCCTAAATTTGACGTCAATATGATTCTAAGCTTGAGTAATTCACGGGACGACGAAGCAATGATGGTTGATCTCGGGGTTCTACGGCACCGGCCGAGACCCCATGACCGGAGCCCACAGCGACCGATTAAAGACACACCCGGGTGCTCCGAGTTAGACCAACTTTAGCGTCCAAGGCAAACACATTGACCATAAATATCTCGGGGTTGGCTGGGGCCGATTGTCTTTTGTCATCGTTGCCAATTGTCAGTATTTATAATCCAAACGCTGACAAAAAGAAGTCGAAGTTTTCGTATAATTCTACAGTTCCACTCACTTCTAGGGATATATTAGGAATCACATTGCTGACGAGTTCTCGCCAGCCCGAGAATTATAGCACAGCGGGATCGCCACTCATCTAGTACTATTAAAGATAGGTACCATTTTGACCCTATGTAGTAACCCGCTAAGTTGCACAGTCCAGTCCCTTCAGAACTGAAATTAGTTCCCTACAGTATGGACCATAATCCTCCGTCAACGCCTTGCATCATAAAGTCATCAATGTCTTTCATATCACCGAGGTCGAACCCAGTGTCATCTATGTCGGTATTAAAGTACCCAGGGTCATAAGTCATATCGGAATTAGCATTTGAAACGCCAGCGTTATAGGCTGATGCTTTGACATGGTCGAAAGCGTAAGAACCTAAGTTCCAGTTAATGTCTAGTTGTCCCGCAGGCTGGATTTCAGTTATCAAAGCCGAGTTATTTGATTCTGCTTGTATCTCGAGAGTGTTTTGTAAGTGGCCTCGATAACCCGGTTGCGGTCGAACGGGAGTATGAATGTGTGACTGCGAAGGTGATGGAGAGGCCGGTGGGGTTTGGGTTCCAAGCACATCGTGAACGATTTCGGTACTTCCTTCATCGCAGCTACCATTGTTGTTAATACAGACTGTTTTCTTTTGTTGATACCATCTCTTGAGCTTCTTGAATGCGTCTATAAATGGCCGCGACTGAGGGAAATACCCGTGTAGAGTTAAGGTAGTGAGCCTTTGGATCATCGCTCCAAGAAGATCTAAAGGAGATGGCGTATTATAATTGTCAGGGCCGCTTGTTTGAGAACGTGATAGATCTTCCGCAAAGTGTCCCAGCTTCAATAAGCCAACTATCACACACAGATTCCACACAAGAAACACGTTCGGAAGAGAACGTGTAAGGTCATCATCCAATGATAGGTAGATATTCAAGGCATTAGCACCTACTATTAGGCTATGACAGAGTGCGTCGGTATGTGTTGCGGTGAATGTTGGTGACGGCCGGTTTGGATCTTCATTATCCTTGATCTTAAGCCAAGTGCGCATATGACGGCCATAAACTCGAATCGCAACTTGGTGAATATAGAGATCAGCAACCAAACCTGTGTGTGTTTTGAGACCTTTGAAATATCAAATATTAGTAAAATCTAAGGAGCAGTGCTGATGAGGTCACACTTACGAGGGTCCAGGTCTCCTGAGGGTGATAGTTTCCAGTCAGCTAATCTCTGTCGGAAAATGCCTAGTAAATGCTGCGTTCTAAAGTCATCGAAAGATTCGTCCGCGCATGCATACGACGCATTTAACGTCTTTGAGGCATCATCGAAAATCTCTTGGAGAGCTACAAGGCTGCATAACCATTGATCGTCGCTCCGTGTACCATTCCCTCGTGTTAGAGCTTCTATGTAAGCTTGGTGCGAGGACGAAAGTATGAGGGGCTGATGTCGACGTAGAAGCGTTGCCGAACTATGAAAAAGCGGTGTTAGTTAACTCCTGGGCAATTGATGCGAGATAAGTACCAACCACGATGCACCAAAATATACGGTTAGTAAAGTTCTATATGTCTCTTTCTCCTGGTCACTGGTTCTATTCTTATCCAGCTTAAGTGCACCGCCTAAGTTAAGATCGTGAGACATGACCACAGCGCTATAAATATGCTGAGGGAGTGCAAATGCCTTAATATGCGGGGGCTGTATGTAGTACTGTGAGAAGAGGACTAGGGACTGTAATAAGTCAAGAGATTTTGCGCCTTGGATAAAGACATCCTGCGCTAGGATGCTGTTGAGTTGCCCTAGAAGAGGATTCACGAGAGACGGTCTGAGTGATGTGCTAGCTATCGTTATGATAGTTAAGAATAATGTAGGTTTCGTTGCTCGGATAGCCTCTACATTCTCCTCAGCCGAGAAGCAGATAGAAGGCATCAATGGCCGCATATGAAGGTTCCAGTGGTCAAACAACATAGAGGCAGTACGGATGTCTACCAAACCCTGACTGACAACATCACGGCTGGTTATGCTTGCTTCTCTGCCATCACTGACGATGAGTTCCGCGTGGCGATCTTGTCGTTCGCTGAACTGTGAGGCATCGTCATACTTAGAGCTCGAGTCAGGAGTTCTAGACCACGCTGCGTCTTCTCTCGCTTGTTTAATGGACTGATGGTTTCGTCTTCTTTCAGCCTCCAGCGCACTAGTTAGGGCGTCGATCTTCTTTTCGAGTTCAGTGAACTTCTGGGAAGTTTTCACTCGCGCTTTTGGTGGCCCCGGGTCTTGACAAGGACGGGAAAATCTTATGCAGGTCTCACAATCTTTAGATCCGGGAACCGAAACGCATTTTATCTTCATGTTACGGCATGCAATACAGGCCCTGATTTTCTTGTGGTTCTGTTCATATTCATTTATGAGAATCCTATCTTCGGATGAGGCGGGGGGTGCATTGATTGTTGCATTAGAGCTGGTCATGGTCTCTTTGAGAATAACCCTAGTTGGCGACCTGGTGTAATTCTTCTGCGTATAATTAAGTGCGAGATCTAGAGAAGAATATGAAATTTGGAGGTTACTGTAATTTTCGATGCTTGATCGAAGAAGGTTTCGTATGATGTAGCTCCCCCATAAATGATAACGCCGCACTAGGGTCTCAATATTGAGGGAGCAAATCCGATAGGCTTCTTGATTTTCAGGGGGTTCCTGGCAGCCTCAGGCAATTTTAGTTCTAAATTTACCCCAAGTTAGAACCGGCAGCATCAACTTAGGTAGTTGTATTATAGTATGGTAATTTCGAAAGGGCATTGCATTGTTAGCTTTACAAAGTTCTATACAACATCTGACTGATCACAATAGCAACGAGAATAAAATAATTAACTACCTGTTATTCAAAATGGTAGAGTTGGTATAAGCTTAGAAGTAACTCGTAAAAATTATAAAGGATGCTAGTCTCATATCGTATTCAAAATTGTTAATTATCGGTTGGTATAGTATGTTTACACCGAGCTGCCGTTATAGAACTCAACATTCATGATGTAAAGTTGCCCAGTTTAAGTCTCTTTGTAAGACTCGGTTTTAGAGAAGTTTGCCAAGTGCTGCTTTAAAATCAAACAAGGCCTACGTCATCAAGACTAAGAATATTTCCAACTTAAGTACTGCTCGTAGAAACTAAAAACTAGCATACATTGACTTTCAAATCCAACATTTAACTTCGCTCATAAAGATTCTTCTACAGGCAGATTAACTCGCAGTCTATCGATACGTGGTATTCTTTACACTTACATGAAAACGACAGTCTACAATAAATCTGTAAAACAAAACACGCAACCATGCCTAAATCATTAAAAGTTGCTCTAAAGAATAATAGCAATTCAGACCAAGTCTATGCGTACATCACCGGCATAGCCCTTCAACACAGAGGGCAACGTTGCTTTCTCAAAGCCGACGGGGAGGGTCTTTACTTCCCGCAAAATCCGCCCCGCATTGGCTCACCGCTGACCGAAGACTGCGCTATTCCTCTCGGAACGCCGGGGAACACGGTGACGGTCACGATCCCACAAATGGCCGGCGGCAGGATCTGGTTTTCTCGCGACGCAAAGCTCACCTTCTTGCTTAATCCCGGTCCTGGTCTAGTCGAGCCCAGCGTCTTAAATCCGACCGATCCTAATGCGGATGTCGATTTTGGCTTTTGCGAGTTTACGCTCAACGATGCGCAGCTTTACGCAAATATTAGCTATGTAGACTTTGTCTCACGTCTGCCGATGGGCATCTCACTAGAGCTGGCAAATGGCTCGGTGCAGAGTGTTGCCGGCATGGCTCCTGACGGCGTGGATCGCATCGCTGAGGGGCTGCGCGAGCAAGCGCAAAAGGATGGCCGGCCTTGGGACAAGTTGGTAGTCAACCGTAAAGGTAGGATTCTCCGGGTACTAAATGCGACGCACGGGAATGCCGTGCGTGCGAACTTCAGCGGTTACTACGAACCATATGTGAATGAGGTATGGGAACATTTCCTCGCCAAGCAGAAAGAAGGCCAGGTCCTGAAAATCAACACGCAAGCTGCACCAGGCATTTTAAGTGCCCAGTTCATGAGTAATGGCGAGGTACAGGTTGGTAATGAGAAGTTTGGTAAGCCGAATACGGCGGACATCTTTGGCTGCAACAGTGGTCCGTTCACGACGGGACCGTCGCCCACGCGTAACGCCATCATCCCGCGCCTAGCTGCTGCATTTGTGCGCACAGCACTGCTGGAGGCATACGAACACCCTTCGCAACCGCGCACATTCTACCAGAGAGATCCGACAAATCATTATGCTCGCATTGTACATGAGCACAATGTTGACGGAAAAGGTTATGCATTTGCTTACGACGACGTGCAGCCGGATGGCGGTGACGATCAGTCAGGGAAGGTCAATGCAGGCGACCCAGTGTTATTCACGGTAACCGTTGGTGGCGTTCAAACGTAATACAATTCGCTACCCCTATGTTCGGAAGTTTTCATATTATCATTTTTCGGGTCTACCTCTTATGATATTAAGGGAGAGTCATTAGAAAGCCCTGGGGTCAGGGGGTCACGGTTGGATACAAGGTATTTGAAGTAAGTCAACATGGTAGCAAACTTAATAGAGTAATATCAAAGTAAGTGCAGCTCATTTACCATCTGCATTTATCAATATAAGAGTTATCAAGTACACAAATCCAACCCCATGCTCATTTACTCCAACTGTGACTCTGAACTGTTCTTGCTGGGGTCTTAGGGCTTGTAAACACTCTGAAAATCATCTAGAATCGAGGTTACACTAATCCTTTACCAGTTGAATTCTAAAAATTACGAAACTGCAAAGCTTTAAGTGTGCGCCGACTAACAGTTGTATGAAACTTTACAGGAGTAAATACTTCACATACTAGAACTTCACTGAGCACGAAGGATTATAGAGTTGAGCCAACTAGCCCAGAGAATATATTTATGTAGCGCAGTGAGTTAACTGTATATATATACATATCCAAGCGAAGAGTTCCCATCACCGTGCCGGCAACGGAACTAGTCTAACCTCTATACCCATACAGCTGAATAACAACGGGTATTAACGCCATAACGCTCTGGGGAGACCATGACGATTACAATATCTATGCGAAGGAAGTCTATATAATTGTGTGTCTCTATTTTCATAACACTGGCATTTACTATGGAATTGTTAGTCGTTATGAAAAATAAGTATATCAACAAAGGATCAAACTTACGCAAGAGAGATCGTAGCTCGCCTTGACCGTGTTAAGGTCACCGGCGGGGAAGATACCGAAATCTGGTGAGGCTTGTCCCCATTGAGATTCCTGAAGGTCGTACCACCACAGGTTAACACCGCGCGCGATCAGGCTGCAGGCAATGTCTTGCCAGTAGATGCGGGCGTTTGCGGGGCTAGCTACGGCTTGACCAACAGTCTTTCCAGATACGGGCCATCCGGTCTCGGTGACATAGACAGGCTTGTTTCCAGCTAGAGCAATAGTCTTGTTGAGTCCGTCATAGAATCGTTCGTGCGCGTGGTCGATGCTGTTAGGCAAGCTCTGCTCCCAGTACGGGTAGCCGTCGAAGCCGAGCCAGTCGATGTGGTCGATGACGGCTCGGTTGGTACCGTTCAGGAAGGAGTCGTAGGTATCGACGTGGCCGATGGGCACACCGGCAAGAGGAGTACCAGCAACGGCGCTTCGGACCTTTTCGATACAGTCGATGAGCTTCTGGGGGCCGACGCCGACTTCGCCGCTAGCGTCACGGTAGAGATCCTCGCTACCAACAGAGATACCAACAACTAAGTTGGTGAATGCGGATCCATATTGGCTGATGGCAGCCTTCAGGGCCGCGATTTCGTTTGTGACAGCTTGGTCACCGCCCGAAACCCAGAGACCCAAGAGAAGGGTCGTCTTGGTGTTGATGGCCGCCGGGATAGCGCTAATAACGGTGTTTGCGGTTTGCCATTGGACTGTTGACAAAGAGTAAGTATAAAACAGATATTTATATAGATTAATTCGAGTCCGAAATCTAACTTACTCATAGAGTAGAGACGGGCACTCGTCCATCCACTTGTGCCCTGGAGGTTCTTGGCGCGGTTGAACTCATACTCGAAGTCGGCTTGCTGCTTAGCGGCCTGGTTAAGGAAGAAAGCTCCGTAGTTGAATCCCTTAATACCAGTGTTGGCAGCAGTAGCAGCAGCAACGGCGGTGCTAGCCGTGGCCGCGAGGCCGAGGACGGAAGAAGCGAAGCGCATCTTGTAAGATATATATAATTATTACTGTATTAAATATCCAAGACCAAAAGTTATTTAGCAAAGCGAATGACAGCTACAATATTGCAGCGATGAGGTGTAAGAGTAACGAGTGAATGAGTATTAAAGAAACTCTATTAAGTCTACTCTACTGACTAGAACTCAAGAAGCAAAGAAAGCAAAAAAAAATCAAGAGGAAGGAGATATAAATAAAGGGATCAGCAGGTTCTAGAAGCTGCAAAAAAACAACTTATTCGGATAAGGGATCGAAAATCGGATCGCATCAACATCCCTTGTGCCGATACCCTGTACATACCTACACCCTGTACCTACAGGGATAACCTCATTCGTCCTCGTCTGTCCCGGAATTTCCAGAAGCTCCACAGCCAGTGACCAGTCTGCCAGTGAGAGATCAGTGGGAGGCCGGTGGATCTGCCGGCGCCATAACCCCCTGAGCTCGTATTATCGACCCACATGCCGCTCAGCCTCAAATCTCAATCAAGCTCGACAAATGACAACGCATACTGTACGAAGCTAGGGCCGGATCGCTTGCGCGGACGCGTATTTATGTAGGTGTAGAAAACTTGGCAGCCCTGGTTTTCGTAAAAACGGTCGAGCCGGTTGTTGATGGTACATTTATTGATTGCAGTTAACATGCATTTTAATAAAAATAGTGCATGCTTTTACTGTTGTCCAATAAGCTCCAACTTGGCACCTAACTAGAACATATGTGAAGAATCTCAGTTCTGATTGGATCTGTCAACGAGTCAAGATTATTTATGTATTGCATATATCCATTATTTCGAGTACGTACGGATGTCCCTTTCAAAAGTTTTTTCCATAGGGAGACCCCTGTCACCCCTGTCAAGCTTTGACCATGCTTGGCAGCAGCTGCTCACCTATACAGCATGCGTATTTAATTTTACTTTACTATTTTAATAAAATATTACCTTTTTAAAATAAATCGTAAAATTTTGTGGAAAGCGATTTTATAAAAATAAAAGGAAGGATTTTAAATCTATTAATTTTCATTATATTTTAATATAATATATGGCTGTAAAACTCAATATTAAACCTTAGGAATAGTAATGTATACATCTTTGAATTATCCGACAGGTGTTGCCAAGCACGGGACAGCTGCCGACAATCTTGACAAGGGTTCCCTATGGAAAAAACTTTTGAAAGGGACATCCGTACATAGTGCATAGACTGATAGGTAGATCATTTTTATGTATATCAGACCCGCCCACCGCCCGCCTTAAAATATCTCAGGAGTCAAAAGTGGACCTTTACAATTCTGAAAACAAGGAATCGATATAACTATCGCCAAGTTGCAAACTTGCAAACTTGCAAAAAGTGTGTCAACGAATGCGCAAGCCCCAGAAAAAGAGTCTAGCTTTCTAACAAGACCTCCAACTTAGATGTATTAAAGTATTAATCTCCCCCATACCCCTTAACTAACGTCCAATTAATCCGTACACTCTACTATTTTTAGTATCATGGAACATAATCAATACATAGAGATTAGCCAGAAAAGTCATAATTTCAGAAACTAATCTCAGAGCCTTTTCCTATTGAGTTACTCTCCGTCTTATAGTTGTTCCCAAGGCCGCATCACTTTGATGATTCAAAAAGGTATTTCTCAACTTTACCTGTTATTTTTTTTTATTGAAGCTTTTTGCCTTACGGGTGCTAGATGCGAATGCCCAGAACTCGTACTCCTTATAGTTCAAACTTGAATAGCGCTATTGAACCAGCTCAGCATCATTATACAGAGCTATATTATGCCTACTGTTGAGAGCTTAGTATCTTCAAGATAGAAGTAGGTAACTGGATATGCGGTACAGGTTACCTACAAGCTAGAGGTCATTCACACTGATCTATCGAGTGTCATTGGTCAACTTCTAGCTTTGTGCATCTTAAAACGCAGGATACCGATAACTTCAACACTGATGACCTTCAGGCGCGGGCGATTAGATTTAACTACTTTATATCAAGTTATATTATTAGAACACTACCGTTAAGGATAATGCGTACTTGTTTTCGCATACCGAACTAATAGTTCAGCCCTTCCTAACCTTCTTGCTGTAAGTGATGCTATTTGCAAATTACTCTGAGACGTCGCCCCCATTGCCAGCCTTTTTTGTCCATGTGGTTGGTACACAGCATGAGAAGTTTTTAGCAACTGCAACACGAAGAATCACTTATATCTTCCCCTGTATCCCACCAGATAATATACCTTTTAATAATGATAAAAATTCGCCATTCTTATTACTTCACACCACTCAGCGTGATATTGCCATGGTCGCTCGCTATACGAAAATCGAAGGCTGGCCTGAGAGCCCTCAAAGTCTAAAATCTGGAAAATCCCGGCCCTGGCAGATCTCAGTCAATGTTCTCTATATTTCTCTAACTTGTCTATTTTTTGTCTATGCAGGCCTCGTAGCTCACAGCGATCAGTCACCGAAAACTGACCTTGTTCCAAAGCTGCATACCGCATCTCGTTATGTAGACAACCCTTCGAACACCATACTCTCAATCTAGGTAGCTAATATTACCACTCCACAGGGCCCTACAGTTTTCCCAGTTCTATATACTTTCATTGCAGGAAGCGCCATACGTTCGTTCGCTCTCTGGAGATTGCAAGAAGGTGCAAAGATCGGTTTCTTGGACCTAATCCTAGGTAGCACATCGTTGGGAAATGCGGTAGCGACACAATTTGAGCGCCAGTTTATGCACCTTATAGTCCTAAGCACATGTATTCTCGGAATATGGTTATTTTCGCCTCTTGGTGGACAAGCCACTTTGAGAATTAGAGAATACAAGGACATCCCGATTGTGCTTCAACAAGAGATAGGTTACTTGGACCTGTCCAGAGCATCGTTCCCTCTTGGAATGAAGATGGGTGATTATGGGGCAGTGTTTGACAATATCAACACAGCTTTTCTGGCTTCTCTTGCGTCGCCTCAGGCAATTAAAGACGGCCAACAGGATACTTGGGCAAACATCAAAGTGCCGATGATCGAGGGCATGCCAGGATATATTTCGTCTGGAGATAACTCGAGTGGATGGATATCTCTCCCCGACCATATTCCCAATGCACAATATTCTTCACTTATTGGGATTCCTACAGCCAACATCCCAGATACTGGCATCACTTCATTCACAATGGAAACATCCTATTGGACTATACAGTGTCCGGAACTGATGTACGCAAAGGATTATGATGATGAATATTGGGTCAATAAAACCACACTTCCGACCTTCTCTGGAACTTCTCAGTCGCCGGTCTCGAATTTGGCCGTTAACGATGGTTCATCCGCACAAGGTGTACGAAGTGTATGGGGCTGGATTCTTTCAGTTACGAGCAATGATGATCTGAAAAAGCGCTGCGAGTCGAAGCCTGGGGAGGATGTCCCTCTACGACGAATCTTTTACCGCAGCGAGAACGTGGGTAGTGACTCCGACCCGAACCCCACCGCAGTTAATTGCAGCCTAGCAACGACCTACGTCGAGGTGTCTGTTCAATGTACAGGATGGGAATGCAAACTTGATCGAATAAGGAAGTCACAAAATAGTGTGAACCGTCGAGCTAACGCATGGACTACACTCGACCCATGCCCTGAAGATGATTTTGAACAAATGTCCAGCCAGTTTCTATCACATCTAGTAGAGGCGGCTGATTACCAACGGCACAGGAGTGGAATGCCTGGGGTACTGCAGAATTATATACAGTCTCCCGCCGCCCCTTTCACCACGGACAACTATGAAATGGACCTCACAAATGTTGGGAATACTACGTTTTCTCTACGGCTAGCTCAACTGCTGAACAGCTACTGGGCCGCCGTTTATGGATACAGCATCACATTCGAAGGCCGTCCCAAGAAATTCCCTAACATCACAAGTTATGGTTTTTACGCGCACGACCCATTTACATATGTGGACGGCGAGTACACGCGAGCTGACACTCGTTTTGTTTATAATCGAGGCTGGATGGCAGTACTGATCATTTCTACAAGTATCATGTTCGCAGCCGGTATCGCAAAACTGTTACTAGACTTGAACATCTGGATACCTGATCTCCTCATGAACGTATCAACATTATTGCGAGGAAACGGATATAACTGTCCCAGTCTTCCATATGGAGGGTCTACCTTGGAAGATAGCGAGAGGTCGAGACACTTACGTGACCGGATGGTCAGGTTTGGAAATATCTTGACAGAGGATGGCCATGCGGGTGAGCTCGGCATAGGAGAGGCCGTAGAAGCCGAAGGTATGGTTACGAAAGTCAAGGGCGACATGAAGTATTGGTAAAGAGTGACTCTTGGTAAATATAGGTACCTAAGTTAGAAACTATTGTCTTACAAAGATCCTCACAAGATTGCCAAGACAACATAATCAGTAGCTGGGGTGGTTCTTCCTGACTATGCGTGAGTGGTACTAGGAGACCTACTAATAATTATCTTATGTAGGTAGCTAAGATGGCTACTTGTATTATGGGTAGTCAGGGTTGTGCTTCTGTGTAATTCAGTAGTCATTTTATTACTCTTTACTTACTCCTTGAAAATAAACCTACCTACTAAGAGCTTATGTTATGAAGCATGATATGTACATGCCCAATCGGCTTCACCATGACAAAGTATAGTTACTTCATAAAGTGAAAAGCACCCATTCATATGATCTAAGCCAGGTATCTAGTACACCTTATTAAAGTGATTCTTAGAATTGACACATCTACATCAACTTATCTCAGTCATATACGCTGTTTCCACGTGTATACTTGCGGTGTAATAAAGTATTATTCACAATTAAATCACACGTTTCTTCTGTTCCTTTACTAGGTATCTACGTACCCTCTAATATATAAACAACTTCTCCTCAGCAGCAAAAGGGCCTCTGATCTAGTTATACATTCTACATTCGCCAGCACTCGATCATCTCATCAAAGAAACCGACTGATCCACATTCAACTTCGACCGTTTCGTCGCCATCGCAAAGCCGACCATCGTCTATCCTATCCACACCACGCACATTTCGAAGTACCCCTTCGAAGCAAATACACCATGTGTACCTGGCACGCTACCGTTTTTAAATGCGTGACGTGCAAGAAAATCCTCTCCATCGCCAGAACCGAGAGGGACAAATGCGGGAAGCAAGGCACTCCTCACTGCGTGTCTAGTGACAGAACTCAGGTCATAAAGGGGGTTATTTGCGATGGCTGCAAGAAAGAGGGGAAAGAAAGCAAGTTCGAGAAACAGAAGATGTGATCTCTTTTTCATATTCGTGGGTTAGTATGATGAGTTTTCATCCTAACCATGGCAAACCTACGGGACTTGCGGGATTCGATATCCCTGTGCGATGAGTTTTTTTACGTAGCATGAGTAGCTATATAAGTTAGCTTCTTGCTTTATACATGCATTTATATCTTATAATGATTCGTGTCTTACTACTTGCGTGTGTTGTGCTATTAATCATGATTATCTTGGTTTAGTTGTGCGGATCACAGATCATGAGATTTGAATTGTATTACCTTCTTCTTCTACGAATTATATAAACCAGCTTCCCCAGATCTCAGAATGGTTCTCTACCCAGACAAACCAACTACATCTACCTACCCACCAACAAGTTCCACCAAATACAGCAACCCAATCCACGGCAACCATCAAGTTACCCACCACATTACTATCAAGAACCTCTTGACCACGAAACCCATACGTACCTGCCTATACAACCTTTGCCAGTACAGCCAACATGTGTACCTACACTACCAGGGTATACAGGTGCAGAAATGATAGCTGCGGAGATACTATCTACTCCGAGAGGATCACAAAGCGGCAGTGCGCCGACTACGGTACTCCACGGTGCAGACCTACCGAGACCTCCCGCGTGTACAACGACACAACATTGTGTGAGTTGTGCAAGAAAAAGGCTGCGAAACCGACTTGAAACGATATCTCATTTGATTCCTTGAATGAACGCGATCATTTGACTTTGGGCGAGAGCAAGGGGAGACTTAGGAGATATATTTAGTGTTCAGGCCTTGCCTATACTCATGATAAGAGACCTTAGATAGCTTAAGGCTCTGACCGGGCTGGATCAATATATTTAGTTGACCCCTATTATTTACCCCTATTTTGCTTGATTTGAGGTAGAGAATGACATGCTAATAGATGAATGTGAGATGTCCAAAACAGTATTTATTTACTCTTCCCCTAAGATAGGTACCCACCAGTTAAATATTTATTCCACACCATATATCAGGATGATCAACGACCTTACCCTCCAACACGACCGCCGTATATATACTCTGTTCACCCTACTATATTTCAACATATAACCCTTCTCCTATCCTACCCAACCCAACAACCACCCCCCAATCCACTACGCCTTAGCCTCTAACGCCCTAGCCCTGAACAACTCCTTATAAGTCTCAACAACCGTATCCTTCAAAGTCCCATACTTCAGCCCCAACACCCTAGTCGCCTTAGACCCATCAACACGGTACGCCTCCTCCGGCGACCAATCCCCCACCTTCCCAACCGGCAGGCGTTCGCGAGCCTCCGGCAGCGCCTCCCGCGCCGCGTCCACCGCCGCCTGGTACCGGAAGTCCTGGCCGACGAGGAAGCGCTGCCCAGCCGCCTCCGGGACTTCCAGGGCCCGGATGTGCGCGGCCGCCACCTCGCGGGAGTCGGCGTAGCCGCCGAAGTCGAAGGGCGGGACGCACGGGCTGTCGATGATATTGTTGAGCAGCACGACCGACTCGCTTATCGTCGCCGTGTTCGAGAGCTCGTGCGCGTACGGCCCGAATACCCACGGCGGGCAGATAGTCGCCAGCGTGAAGCTAGCGTCCGGGTGGGCGTCTATCCACGCCCACATGGCGCGCTCGGCGAGCGCCTTGCTAGACGCGTACGCGATGACCGTCTGGGCCTTGACCGCCAAGTCCCACGTCACGGGGTTCCAATCCTTCTCGTCGTAAGTGTGGCCCGGCCGCGTGCCTTTCTCCGGGTCCACGACGGCAGCAAACGAGCTGGTCGACACTATGCGCCGGACCTTACCGCCGCCGTACTTCAGCGCGGCCTCGAGGATAGTCGTCGCACCCTTGGTAGCGGGGTCAAGGAGGTCGCGAACGTTGTCCTGAGGATTAAGGTTCAGGGGCGACGCCGAGTGGATGATGCCCTCGATAGACCCGTCTGCGAAAGCCGCGGCGTAGGACTCAAGGACCGTCATGTCTGGGACGATGGTAGAAGAAAGAGAAGCGGCATAGGAGGGGTAGTGAGAGATAGTACGGGCCGCGGAAGACTCTGTACGCGCCGTAATACGTACATTATACCCGGACTCCAAGGCCTCCCTGACGATCTGTCCACCGACGTAGCCACCAGCGCCGGTGACGAGAATAGTGCCTTTTTTCTGAGGGGCAGCCATGTTTAAGTTGATAAAGGGGTATTTGCAAGGTTCGGCAGATAGTTAAGGAGGTGTGTGTGAGTAAAGTAGTCTTGGTGAACGTAGTCAACTTGAGTAGCGGCGAGCAACAGGGTTTTTAATCGAAGGATTTTATAGACAACAGCCGTCTTATAAGCACAAATGTACCTTCAGTATGGTTGACAATATGCCGATGATCTATGGTTGCACACCCGGGTTTAAGGTGCGCTTTGCATGCAGCTGCAAGTGTGTGGTTGTTTCTGCAGACTAAATTCCATCTTGATGACGAACGCACGACGGATTATATACAAGAGGTAGATAGGTGATTACTCATGTATAAGTCTAGCTCACGTAGAGATAGGGGTATGGCGTCTTTACTGATCAAGTCAGTAATTAGTTTACTGATAGACTTCCATTGAACATACAACTCCCACAATAAGTTAGTAAGCGACCAAAGACACTCACCCTATCTTAACGCCTGTATCGGCCGCATAATGATGTGTCCATCGCCAGTTGATCCCGTGATTCTCCGGCCCCTTTTTTTGGTGTTTTAGGAGGTATTTAATCGGTCCTCCGAAATACAACTCCACCCCTTGGATTTGTAAAAGCACTGGTTTCGGCCTTTATTTTAGCTACTCAAGAAAATCTAATTAGAGAAACATCTAAATAAGGAACATCCCGGCCGGAGTTTAGCACATCGTACAGACGACCTAACTATTTCGCTGCACACTACTTGGACTATTTTTATTGAAATATGGGAATAATTTTCGACATGATTATATAAAGCAATAGCGTATTGGTGCAGTGTTGGGCTAAAATATGACCGCATATGTAACGGAGGCTCATGGGTACCTAAGATAGGTGGTAGATATATGACAGCTTCTATTGGTTTTATGGCCGTCGGATCAGAACGGAGAATTGAGACATGGTTTATCGGCGATTCGGCCGTATACACCGAACTGTCTCTTTTAGGGGTTATGTTATCGGCGTTGACCACTTTTGAGCTTCACAAAAACGATGCTTTGTGATATCTATTATATTCCGCTTCCGTTGTGCCGGGCGAGGAAGAAAAAAAAAAGGGCTTCCCAATCAATGTTTAACCAAGGTAGTAAATATGCTATACCGTACACCCTATACCGTACACCTGTACACACCATACCAGAACTTCCAGGTCCACTCTATGTACGTATCCTGCCTGCTAAAGTCAACAAAGATGGCCCCTTGACAGATAGTGGGTATATATGAATGAAATGGAACTTACCCGCACGACCTGTACGAACAACTTTAACTCCGGAGCTTCAATAAGCAACAGGATAACCCAAAATCCTTATTTATATTCCCGCTTTAACTCCATCAAGCCCAACTTCCTTGGTTATCGATTAATCTTGCGCTTCCCGAGATACTGGCCCTGGCACTGGCACTACCGTGTACCATCTCTATTAGCTTGCCCCTTTGCCGTGCGCGTAAGTTTTCGAGGTATACGCCCACGTCCTCGAGGCTTTTGATCTGCTCCTCGAGCGAGAGGGTACTGCTGTTTACGCTTCGTACTAGCGGCGAAACCAGCTTCCGTCTCAAAGTCTCAAGGTTGGCCTTTAGGCTAAGCAGTTTTCCATTATGCTCTACCAGTATGCCTTTGTTGCGCACTGTCTTCTCACGCACGTTCTGAAGTAGTTCGCGGTTACGCTCATACTTCTTGACCTCGCTTACTTTAGGCCCTAAAATGCGTGTCCACAACGAGGAGAGGAAGTCAGCGTGCTGCTCATCTTGTTGCGATGACTCTCGCACGACGACACGTGCCAAGTTTAGGAACTGACGGTCGATAGCTTCGAAAAGGGCGAACAGTGATAGCGAATGGTGTAGCTCGTTCTCGATTGCTTCTTCTAGGACCGATAGGAATTCCGTAAATGTGCGTTGGAGCGCGTAACGAGTTCGCTGCGGATGCGACATACCGAACATAGTTGTCGCTATATCGCCTAATCGCGTCGGCATACCTGTGTTCGGATTCTCGAAAACGCCAGCCACGGAGAGCAGGGTATGAATGTTGGCAAATGCTGTGGAGAGAGGTTGGCTTGGAACGGCTTGCACCTGCGATAACTCTCGCCGCGCCCAATCCATCACAATCAGTATGCTGTCAATATCACCGTCAACATTAGAGAAAAACTTTGTAAGCTCGATAGCCAGAGTCTTTAAGCTTTCTGAGAGCTCATCAAGCGACTTCACAATGATAGGCGCCGATGTCATGTTACTTGACCGAACACTCTCGCCGAGATCCCACACAGCAACACCGGTTGCTTGAAGATCGCCAACCTGGGAAACGCCATTCTCCGAGTAGTAGATCAATGGTTCAAAGGAGCGCGCAATACCTGCCACCTTGACCAAATCAGGCGACGGTCGCGGTGGCGCGGGTTGAAAGAGCGTCCGGATGGCGGTCATTGATAAGAACGCGACGAGGGTTGCGACGATAATATTTCCCCACGATTTTGATCTTAGGAAATTGACAGCAGCCTCAATGGGCTCTGTTCGCTGTTGGATATCAGCACGCAGCGCTAATCGGATGTCTAAGTTGAAGTTAGCATGGCTGCCCGGATGTATCAATTTGATAAACTTACAATTATCCCTAGAAGCACCAGGCGACATAGACGCTATTATACCGTTTTGTGTCGTTCCTCCATTTAAATGACCATTAGCTGGCGACTGGCTCTTCAATTTGACGAGAGTATCATCCTCAGTTGGGCTCTCTGGTTCTGGTGTAACCCCTTTTTCGGGACTTAAACTTCCTGTTGGCAGACGCGTCCTACGAGCTGCCTCGAAGATATCGTTCTGGAAGATGCTGTTGTTGGTATGATTTATGCGCCTCGGCTGGTCGAAACCGCCCAAGATGTCCCTACTCTCGCGCCAATTACCGTACCACCGATCTCCATTCTCAAGCCTTTTCCACGCCGGTGGGCTGTAATTACGATCTGACAGAGACATGTCGTCCATGTCGCTCTCTTCTTGCAGGTCGAGGTCCTCGTCCGAGAAGCCAAAGCCTAAATGGGTTGGTGGGAACCCGAACAGTTTCTGTCGCGACGGTGACATCGGAGTCGCGAAGCTTGTGTCGTCTCGACTGTTCTCGGAGTACATAGACGTCATTTTCATTAAGAGCGCCTTGGCTGGTTGGCTTCGGAATGCTATCTATACTTATAGTTGAGGTTGGTGTCGAGCTTGGAAGTGCTAGTTTGGTACGTGAGGAAAAGAACGAGCGCAAACTTTGAGTTGAAGTCTGCGCCCGGTTGGAGGGTAAGTGGATAAGAGACTTTTCTGAGTTTGTCACTGGTCCGGGCGCAGGTAATGCTGGCAGGGCTTTCTGTCGATGCGATCTTTGAATGGGTGGCAGCGCCTTTCGTCTTGGTAGCGGCTCGATTTGCGGTCCCGGTCGCGGTATAATAGATGACGGCACCCTGAAGGAAAACCGAGGAAAGCGGGTAGGTAAGATATTCCGTAGCGGTATATGGCCGATTGAAACGAGGTAGATGAAGAAAAAGGCGAAAGTGAAGGCTAGTGCGACGAGGAACGTGCTAGGCGCAATGGTAATGCTGAGAAGTGATACGTGATTGTGAGTCTCGATAGATACCAAGGGGCGCATTGAGATCGGAAGCGACCGGCCAGGTAAGCTCTGGGGTCGTCTAGAGTATTCAATCTAGTCGTCCGGAATGCTATCGTCGGCGATACTAACTAAAGCGACTAGAAGTATAGAGGTAGGTATGTTGTGTTGGTATGTCGGTATGTCGGTATGTAAGTTGGGTCGGCAACTTAGTTGAACGCTGTGTTAATGCTGGGATTAACACGATAACAGTGCGATTTCGCAAGTAGTCAAGGTTGGTTGGGCTATAAAGTTCCACGCTTATAATATTGACTTGATCGAGCGTATTTGAGTATGTTGAGTATAGTAGCAAGGCTGTGTACTCAACTACCAGTAGTTAGGATCCTATCGAACGATGTCGTCGCGAAAGATGAACTCCCAAGGATTGCGCAAGAGGGTAACTAGACTCTTACGAACCGAAGGGGAGCGGATTCGTTTGCGCCGGTAAGTTCCAAAGCGCAGTGAGGTGGGTAAGGAAAATGGACGAATGAACGACAACTTTGGCCAGTGGTAAGACGAGAAGTAGAGGAAGTAGAGAAACAGCTGTACGAAATTGAGAGGCTGGGAAACTCTGGGAAGCTCTGCACCATCTCAACCTTCTCTGGTTACTCCTTCCACTTAGCCACTTAGATCTCACTTTTGAGACCCCCCCACCTTCGGGATGTCGCAGGAGAGGTTCTAAAAGCCAATGGATTTGCTTCGTTTCTGGTCTCTGTACGACAGACCAAAATGCAAGGGTCAATACCTTTTTTAAACTTTATAATAGCCTGTTTTAGGAATGCACTTGGACGAGAAAGTACAACAATATGATAGTATGTAGTATGTTGATTATATATGCCTTAGGTACTAGGAAAGGGATTCTTGCTCCCTAGATACCAACATAAGTCCGTGACTTGGACAGCCAAAGAATAAGTGAGTCAGTAACATATTCCGTATCTAAAGGGTACGTACTACATATGGTAACTCCCTCTGTCACTTTGTACCCCTCCCCCCCCTTGTCATGGTAGCGTCGGAAGGAATGCGATCATAAGTTCTTGACCAATCATAATAAGATATTTAACCTATGAGTTGTCGTTGGGTTAAGTGCTTGCATGAGCGAATCATCGCTCACGGTCACCACCTAACCAATCATGTCTTAGCGTGATTACAGCTGCAAGCACTTTGACGCGTTCCGAAAAACAAACCACAAGCAAGTCTGATATAGTTCAATCAATAAACATTGAGCAAATATGGCATTATGATTGGAGAAATAGCAAACTTGGATCTGGTGACCTATTGTAAGTTACCTATTTAAGTTGTTTACATATTTTACACACTGCTGATGTTTGGTTATATCCTAACAGGTACATGCTATTATACTGTCTTTTACCCCGCACATCATGCTGCCATAACGTCAAATCTTATCGCGCTATCGCACCATCGAATCACTTATCACCCCGCAGTTGACCAGGTGCCGGTTGACCCCGGCCATTTCCTATGACCGAGACCCGCCATAAGGTACGTACCTAAGTAGGTACCTAAGTACATAGTTTTCCTTTTCTTCCCCTTTCCCTTTCCCTTTCCCCTCCCCCTCCTTCTCCCCCTCCACTCAATTTATGCGGCGATGTTTCAACTATCCTCCCGCTACCGACGGAACAATGCATTGTTACCTACATAACCTACCTCTGTCAGCCTGCAAGAGGTATGCTATCGATTAAAAACGCATGACTTTTATGACTTCGATGTCTCTTTTGTTAATGAATCCTTAACTCATCCTTATGTACTTTCACGACACAACAGATTTACCCTGACTTGGGATATATATTCTACCTTGGGGAATTCTAAATCCCGGTCATGAACTCATTTCATCAACCGTTTGTATTATTAGGTACCTGGCCCTTATCAAATGACGACATGTCTATTCCTTACCTGGGTAGCTTCTACGGCTATTCTAGGTATAGTTACTACTCTTGACATCAGCTGGACACAGTGGTATCCTAACTCTTATCGTCTAGTATTATGTTTCATTTCACACCGTAATACCAGATAGGGTAAGTGGGCTAGAGACGATAGAGCTAGATTGGCGTAACGATGTCACCACAAATGTTGTCCCACATTCCAGTAGACTCGTTGGGAGTTCAGTACTTGAATACGGGTGTGAAGAGACACCATTAGAACCTCTTCTTCAACCCCGGGGGTGAGCTCGAAGGTTTTCTGGACGGGTCCTTATTTTGATAAAGAAAGGGAAAGGCTTAGACTGGATATTATCTTCCCCTAATACAACTCCTCAGGATCTCATACAAGTCTTGGTCAACCCACTTCTACCACTATAACTTAATGAGGAATGAACAAGCCAAATTCCCTACCATCTCATTTACATTCCTCGCTAACCCTGCTTCTGAGAACTTGTATTACCTGAAACATGCATCTCATTAGGTCGAACCCTCCAACGTATGTATACAACCGTCAACTTATGTAGCATAAAAGCCAGATGAGGTGGCGAATCCACAATGTCTTCCTCTATATCAAAACCACATCTGCGGTAATTCCGCGGCCCATGTCGGCTGGGACCGACATCAAACTCCACAATTCTTCCAGTTTATCTATTCTGGTTTCTGGTTTCGTGGTCTCACATCGTAAATTTGCCGTCTCTGGTTCTCCCCACTGTAGGTATCCACTAGGTTCTATTATAAGATATCTACTATTAGCAATAGAAGATCAACATCTAGGAGTATACGGAGGATTAGTTCACGAAGAGTTTCGTCAGTCAAAAGGATGAAAGCAAAGAAACCGACGTGAACCATGTTAAAAAACGCCGGTGAGGTCTTCTGGGACGTTTTCCCTGACGTCACAGTGTTGAAAAGGTACGTTCAAAGGGAGTGCCAACATCAGCCACGCGCAAATTAGCAGTCTCAGTATGGATCATTGGTTTTACAAGATCTCCGAATGTTCTAGTCCAGAGGATATGCATAAAATTGATACTACAATCACAATAGGACTTATTAGTTGATTATGCAAGCCTCAATGATTGATCAAGACATTTAGCATGATTTTGAGGTATATACTGATTGTTTTCGGTATAATCCCGAGTAAAAGCATAATCTGTTTTTGAAGAGTTGTGATGTTCAGATATCCCTTTATAGTACCAGTGATCTATGGTACAAGTTTGTCACAAAAGTCATGGAGAGCACTAACAACAAAGAAAAACGACATGTAGCTTGATTGCTTAGGAATATTTAAAAATATCCAACTTGAATTCTTTTTTTAATGCGACTTTATGGTGGTGCCCCTAACCTCTGGTAACAGGCGAGTAGCATCACATCGAACATAACCTCTAAACCCCATTTTCTTCACGATGCCTCTCAGAGGCAGCGAACAAAGAGACAGCCAAGAAGCAACCCATCGAACGAATCTCAAATTTAACTACAGTGCTGAGGAATGGGCTAACAAGCCGCTCTCTGCGTAGGAAGCTAACAGTTAACTACAATACAGCCACAGCTGCTTACTTTATTCTTCAATGTGCACGCGTTGGGTCTTTATTAAGCCTCTATGTCCCGATCTCTATCAATTTCACTAGGTAGAGCTATAAACCACAGCCAACCAGGAGTAGAGTAAGCGCCCCCTTACTTCCTATAGGGGCAGAGAATTGGGAATACCCTCGTAAGGACAAGCAAGGAGATACGAAACGATAACTTCGGACTACCAACGGAAACCCCTACCGAGAAACATTGGCTCAAGACGGACAGCCTAGAGCGGAACGCTAAAATTAGATAAAATGAGTTGTAGATAGCTCAAGAAGCAAAGTGTGTGAATAAGGTAGGTAAGTTGTCTACTTATCTGACAGCCATAGATTCATTGTCGATTACTTGAGGCGTAACTAGCCCTCATGTAGACAGGACGAAGACACGCTTAATGTAGATGCCTGCATTTTTATTCGTTTTTTTCCAACTAACAAGAGCTGCAATATTTAATTCTGTAAATTATGCTTTTGCGTACCTATTCTTCTTCTCATATGTACGTACCAGTAAAGCAACAATTTTGACAATCCCAAAATTGTAGAACTTTAACCTAATCGCCACCGCAGTCCCGGTAATCACAGCCCAGTTCGACTCGATCCGCGATGTAGGATGGTACGGCGCGTCGTTCATGGTATGTAGCACTGTGAGTTCTCCCCTTATACCTATCCCTAGGTACCTACCTAAGCTTCATCTTCCACAAAACGCCAACACCACATCTTCCACAAACAAAGGTGCGCAAGCCAGCCGCCCGCAGGCAAAACCTACACTCTCTTCTCGAAGAAATACACGTTCCTGATTTACCTATTCGTGTTCGAAACCGGCAGCCTCGTGTGCGCGCTAGCTCCCACTTCGAACGCTCTGATCGTAGGACGTGCCGCCGTCGCCGGACTAGGCGCGTCGGGGATATTCGCAGGCGGCTTGATCACGATCCTTACCACGATAATACCGCTACGCAAGCGACCGATTTAGACCGGGACTTGGAGTTCGGTCTTTGCTATTGCTGGTATCGTGGGTCCGGTTATTGGCGGTGCTTTGACGCAGCATGTCACTTGGCGATGGTGCTTTTATATCAACGTATGTGTCTCTTATATCTCCCTCTACCTATATTGGAGGTCTGAATAACGTAATGTGTGCAGTTACCTATAGGTGGCGCCGGCGCCGTGATATTCTTTTTCCTAGTCCATCTCGAGCCCGCCCCGACGGAAAATACTCCGCTTCGCAATAAACTAGAAGGGGCTTGATATAGTCGGCTTCGTACTGCTCGGCAGCGCAATCGTAATGCTTCTGCTTGCGCTTCAATGGGACGGAATCACATACGCTTGGTCTTCGTCAATCGTTATTAGGCTGTTCGTCGGTGCCGGAGTAATCTTGATGCTCTTCATCCCTTGGCAGATCTACCAGAAAGACAAGGCCTTGATACCGCCGAGATTATTCTCCATCAACCGGAAACCCGGGCTAATATGTGCAGCATCGTTCTTCATCAATAGACCCTTCCAACTCATCATCTATTGGCTACCTATTTGGTTCCAGGCCGTATTGGGAACCTCGCCAACACAGAGCGGTGTCAATTATTTCCCTACAGTTATTACCGACGTCCTCGCCGCATTCATTGGTTCAGGCATCGTCATGTAGTTGGGATGGTGGAACCCCCTTCTCTTATCTGGAGAAGCTATGGTATGTCTCGGCGGTGGCTTGCTTATCACACTATACCCCGAGATCTCGACAAAGAGTAAACAAAGTCCGGCTCAAGTCAGCGAAAGGAGGGACGCAGTTTAGTTAGTATCTTCACAGCTTCACAGCTAGAAGACGAAGCTCGCGCCTGTAATAGTGCCACGTTCACGATTGAAGCTACTTGGAGGCGAAGGGAAATGAACGTAATTTATTTTCTCCTATCACTGCCTATCCGATAAAACCCGACCTGATAAAAGCACACGCTCATAGCTTCATAACCCTGAATAAGCACCCCGACGGACTAGTTATAGATAGGAACCGACTCGATTTGTATGATGCAGATACATCGAGTAGAGGATTGTTTGAACTTTGCGTCCTGCTTTGTATCTATCCTTCAGATAGTTGCCGCGGATCTGGGGGTACATTCTAGCGTTAGCGTTACCCATCCTCCTAAGTGGCAGCGGTTCTGTTCTTGGTTTGTAAGGGTTGTATCTAGCTAACGGTTCGTTGTTAAAACGACTAATCAACTCTTGCCGTCTCGAGACTCCTTGCCGATGGATTAGATAAGTTATTTACTTGCTTCACCGGCGGTGGTTGATATTTGCTCTTCTTACGTAGTCGCTTACGCGCAACCATGACCGGGACTGAGCTCTTGGTTACTAGGTAATTTGAGAAAGATCCAAGGAGCGTCCTGCAATGCCACATTAGTTCTTATCCATGTTTGTAGATACGCATATTTGAACTTACCCTTTCAAAGCGCTCCTGCCACGGCTTCCCAGAATTACCAACGTCGGATTCAAAATATCGATCACCTCTGTGATCAGATGCTTGGGATTCTTGCAATGAATCACTTCTACGATCACCCGTACCTGTAGCTGCGTCTTCCGGAGCAATTTTGAGACCCGCTCGGTAATGTCCTGAACGGCTCGATCTCTCTCTTCTTGTAATCTGCTTTTCCCGCGAGAACTAGGCGCTGGGGAGGGATTATTGCTACCGCTACCGTCGATAGCTCGGATATGCGGTGACATCGAAGATCCTTGCATCTTAAACGGGCCAGGACTAGAAGTACGGTACGAGGGTCTGGACATGCCCTTGGAAATTGCGCTAATGGCCATCGCTTGCTCCTTCATCGCCTTGGGCTCGTCTGCTACCATGTTGCTGGCATCGACCGATCCACTGGTCTCCTCATCCATGCAATACATGGCTATTAGTGTATCGCCATCGCGAAGCACGGTTCCAACGGCCCATTCTAACGCGTGGGTAGACTCATCACTAAGATCCGTCGCCACTAGGTATTTACGCAAACGCCGCTGGTCGTCCTCTGCCTCTCGCTGTATTCTGGTAAATTCACCACGGTAGAGAATTCGGAGGGAGCGGTGGACTTCGGGGGTTGAGAGAATCGGGGTAGAGGATAGTTGCAGCCCCTGTGCAGCTTTGATAGCATCGACGTCGGCATCTAGATCTGGATCGTAGGGTGTTTGGGTGCCAGACAGAGGTTCCTGATCAAAACTAGTGGACGGTTGAACCACTGGCTTTCCACCCTTGCCCAGCCTCCCTTTATCTCCTCCGGGACTTGTAATCGTAATTTCGGGCTCGTCGAAGAGTGATCTGTACTGAGGCTGAGTAGCATTGACATGTTTTCCTAATGATGCTGTTAGTCATTTTGGAGTCTCGGGCAGCATATCGTGTGTTCATGGACTCACGCTCATCTTCAATAGCAGCGAGTAGACTCTTAGCTGTGTTCCCATCTTCAGAATCTTGCGACTCGGCGCGAGGAGTGAGTTTTCTCCCCCTTTGCATCTCTTCGTCGGACGAGTTCGCAACGTCGTCATCACTTTCATCTGGGAGCAGTTCTCCGTAAGGACTTAAATTATCCTTTTCTATTCGACCGTGCCCTTCGCTCTCTTGCCTCTTACGTGCTAAGGATGCTAAGCTAGAGCCACCATAGAGTAAGTTGGCATCCGACAATTTCCTATAAGCATTATTCATATCCAATACCTGACCATTGGTCATCATAATGTCCTGTGTCTGACTGCGCCCAGGAGGGTTCCCAAATGGCGAATTTGAGCGCAGATTAAAACGGTTGCTAGGTGACTTCGACTTGTTGGTTTTCCTTGAAAAGCGCGAGTGTTCTCCAGGAAGCACTAGGTTGGATAAGTCAGGTCCGCGAAGCGCTTCACCTATAGAGCTTGACCGCATGGCATTTTGACCACGTTTGATCGGCATAGATTGCCCAACATTGGTTGGCAATATATCATGAAACTTATATGCAGATGTTGGGTCATTGTTCCTTAGACTCGGTAGAGGTGGCGACCGTGGGCCAAGGTCTACAGCGGGAGTTGAGGCCGCATCCGACATACTTCTACCACGACTCGAATTATCCGAAGCCGGGGCCTTGTAAGAGAGAGTCGGTGACACAGGCGTGCTTGCCGGGACTTTGGAAGACGGTCTGCCAACATCTAGCATGCTTCTCGTCTGGATTGGAGGACCGTCGACGTCTAGCATGCTACGAATTGGAGGGCTACGAGTTGCATTCCTAGACACTTCGCCAATGTCTAGCATGCTTCGAACAGGCGATCGAGGACTCGCAAATGGTGAAGGAGATCGATGGCCAACCGACGGAGCTCTTCTAGGTTGTTGCCACGACGACATTAGACTCTCAACCTCCTTCCGTTCTTCCTCAAGCGCTGCCTCGAGGGACATCAACTTCCTGTTGTTCGCCATTGTAATATATGTTTGACGTAGTCGCGCTGGTGGCAATTCGAGGAGGTTAGTCCTTGTTTACAAAATACAGATATCGAATCGAGGGGTGTTTAATCGAAGACGTCTGTCTGTTAGAAGTGGGTTGCTGGGTTGCTGGGTTGCTGGGTTGCTCGAGAAACGAGCTTCGAGTCACGTCAATAAGCCCAGACGCGTATTACGACGAATTATTAGGCTAGTAAAGAGTATAAAAGGTAGTAATCGAGAAACGCCGGATTGATGCTATCGTGGGATAATAAATGGGCGTCTTCGATGGAGACGGAGGAAGATCATTGTGCGCTGAAAGATCTTTCTCGTTGTTGCGTTTTTTGTCTCGACCTAGACCCGAGCCTTCACCCTCTGCGCATGGCTACTAGCCAAAAAATCGGGTTTCTAGGTTCAGGCAGGAAGCTGGAACTGGGGGATTGGAACCAACTTTGTGAGTTGGTTGCAAGTGGATTGACGGAAAGGAACGACGGGGCAAAAAAGCTCGAGCTCAAGTTCAGATGATGTGGGGTCTTTTTTTGTAGCTGTATTTAACTGTGGTTAGCTGTAGCCTGTGTGTAGCCTGTGTAGGATATTTGTGGGATATTCCAACGCAGACACAGCACAGTAACAACTTAAACGAAGAAATCGGAACTCGGAACAGAAAGAATAGAAAGGAGGCCTCACTGCCTTGCTTGCCAAGAGCTTTAGGGTGAAAGATTGATTTCAAGAAGGGAGATATGATGACCGTGACGAGAGAAGAAGAGGGGTCTAGAAGGATGTTTATGAGGATTTTGGGGGAAAGACCTATGTACCTTAAGGTTGGGGACCTAGGGGTTAAGCTTGCCTTGCCGTGCCCAGTTTCGAGGTGGAACCCGGACTATTTTTTCCTTGGGCTGCTTTGGGTTGCTTCCGTTTGGTGTTATCATTACATATTTCGTTACTTCAATTAGGTAATAATTCAAGCTCTGTACGCAGTAGTAGTACATAAACATCCACGCGTATATTAAACACGGTAGAGTAGACAACACATGCATGTAAGTAGTAGCACATGCGAAAATAAATAAAAATTAATACTACTAAACTTCAGGTGCCTTACCTACCTAAGGTACTTGATGCATTAAGATGCATTCGGGTGGTTTAGGGAATCTACAACTTGTCCGGTACCAGTACGCGGATGCATTTGTTCGCAAGTGGCTAAATCACTGTGTGATATACTTAACCGAGGTACCAGATACTTTATGATTCATGTGGCATTCGATCTTAGTACGCAGATCATCCTATCAGACCACTTCTATGTAGTATCCACTCTGTTAAACCCTGGTCCTGACTTCCTCTTTGCGCGTCAGAGGCTTCCTTAACAGGCGGCTATAGCTAATCTTGAATTCGATTGGCTCCTCTCTCTATGCCGTCCTACGTCCGTATAGGCAGGACAATATATAATACCTACCTTACCTTTCTAGGTACATAATGATACACGCATATGCGTATGTTAACTTTATAGAAACACCATAGAGATTGTTTAAAGGCTATGTACGAAGTACATCCTTAACTTACCGAATTTTAATATATTTCACCAATCAGTCCCTTCGTTACAAAAGCAAGGCTTTATTATACTTATGAGGGTATATATAGTCGAGCGGAAAGGGGAAGTTGGTATACTTTTTCTCTTTGCTTCTTTACACTTCATAACTCTATCATCTTCCGTCTCACGTCGGGCATTTCCGGCTGATCGTCTTAATCCGCACCCACGTAACTGTAGAGGATTCGGTTGGTAAGTGATTCGTCATTACGTGGTGCGTATTGTACAGCCAGGATTGACTTGAAAATTATTTGGAGAGTTCCCGGAATGGGTGTAAGAATTGAAAAGAACTAGATTGTAACTTGGATAAAATAACAAATATGGAAGACGTAATATCTCGGCATTTCCTTGTCCATACGTAAAGAATACTACGAATAGGGTTATAAAAGGAAAAGGGGAAAGGGGGGGGGTCATTATCAGTTTTCAAAATGATAAATAATCTATATAGGCCAACACCTTTTATAGATAAATAGTCTTAACTTATACGGAATAGAATAACCAGTTCGTTCTAATAGCAGCTGGTGACTTCTTACCTCAGGTAATAGTGCACAAGTACTTGCTCGTTCTCTTTTTCACTCTCTCACCCTCTCTCTCCTTTTGACGTGTTACGAACGGTTGGACAAGCAGCATTGCACAACACATACGACATACGATAACCACAACCTTGCATGGAATGTCATCATTTACAATATGTAGCAACCTCTTTCAACATGTCATGCGGTCCTCTACTACCCACTGTTGCATAGTTCGTAATTCCAGCTTCCGCTTCCGCTTGCGGCGCGTGTTCAGGCATCGAAATTTCGTGCAGCGTAGCCACGGTCCGTTGGATAACCCCAACTGC